TCTCTCTCTCTTCTTTCTTCCCTTTTCTCTCCCTCCCTCAATGTATTGTAATGAATAGAAGTTTGCAATTGCATTGTAGTCCAATGTTTCATTCTTCTCTTTTACGTTTATGGTTAGTCCTTTTTTTGTGACTTACCTATTCCTACCCAAGGTCATAAAGAGATTTTATATTTTCTCTGACAGGATTTAAAATTTTTCCTTTCACATTGAAGTCTTTCAACCACCTGGAGCTGATTTCTGTGTATGATGTAAAGCAGGGATCCAACTTTCTTCTTTTCCATATTATGGATAATGTGTCGTCTTGGTAACATTTATTGAATTGCTCATACCTGGCCACTAATCTGTAGTGCCACCCCTGTCATATATCAGTTTTCATATATGTGTGAGTCTGGTTCTATTCTATTACATTGATCTAGTTGATCAACCCCTATGGAAATACCATGCTTTTCTACTTATAACAGTTTATAACAAGTGTTTATATCTTCCACTCTTATACATTCACTGTTTCTCAGCTCAAGTATCACTGCATTAGTGGTTTAAGTAGATGTACGCATTACATTCTATTCATAGCTTTTACTTCAGTTTGTAATTATAATACATCTGGAGTATTTAATTGTTAAATGACTGATTCTCACATTTGTCTGAAAGTTCTGTTATGGCAGAGACCTTGTTTCCCCAGGGCTTAGCACAGTAACTGTCATATACATAATATTAGTTCAATAAATATTTAACAAATTAATGAATGAATTCATCTCTGTTCTGCAGCATTTAGTGCACTGCCTGGCACATGGCAGATGCTCTATAAATGCTAAAGAGAGGAACATTACTTTCCATCAGTACTGTGTGCCACTTCCTTGCTTAAGTTGTCTCTAAGATATATCACCAGGTGACACGCTACATTATCTTACCTACTTGTTTACTTTCTTTCTCTCAATAATGTAAGCTCCAGAAGTACAGGACTTGCTTTGTCTGTTTTAACCTCTGCTGTATCCCAGGCCTAGAACAGTGCCTGGCAATTAGTAGATGCTCAATAAGGATTTGTGGCATGAATGAATGAATGAATGAA